AGTTTAGTCAATTATGTTTACACACATGGAATCTCCTTGTATTAGTAGAGGAGATTTAAAAAATATTTTGGGATTGTTCCAAAAGAAGAATCTCTAAAATAAAAGTCATTTACTCAGTAGTATAAGGGAGACAGAATCCTGGTGTGGCGCTGTGGGTTAACGTGCCAGACTGCAAAGCCGTTTGAACTGTAATGTTGACGGTTCAAGCTCACCAGCTACTCCTCAGAAACCTGATACAGGGTCGCTATGGGTTGGAATTGATTTCTTGGCCCTTAACAACAACAACATAAGGGAGACAGTGCAATGATGAGTCAAATCAAGTACACTGCTTAATCCTGTAGGAAGGTGCATTTGTTTATGTGGGTAAGAGTGTCTCAGGTTTTATTATCTGGTGAAAAGAGCCAGCTAATTCTCTTTGGTGTAATTAGAAAATATAAAATTATAGACATTTTTTCAATGTGCTGTTTATATACAATGGGTGGACAGTTTCCAAATAACATGTGTAACTGAGAAAAAAAATACATATAGACAGCTTTATCATCTATAAAATGGAATTGTTGAAACTTTTACAAATTTTCAAATCACTCTTTTTATAACCAGATAAAGAATAGTTCTGATCCTTCACTTAACAAACCATTTTCTGTTGACAATAATGTGGACTGCTTTGCAAAATTAAGTAGCCTTGGTGGCGTAATGCTTAAGTGCTCAATTGCTAAAGGTCAGTGTCTCAAACCCATCAGCTGATTTCACGGAAGAAGGATGTGGCAGCCTGCTTACATGAAGATTGTTGTTGTTGTCTGCCATTGCTTCTGTTCTGGCTCATAGCAACCCATTATAAGATTTCGAAGACTGTACATCTTTATGGGAGCATAAAGCCTCATCTTTCTCCTGGGATGTGGCTGGTGGCCTCTAATCACAGACCTTGAGCTTCTCATCCAGTACTTTTCCTACAGAGCCACTGTGCTTCGTACCATAAGATTACAGCCTTGAAAACTCTATGGGGCAGTTCTGCTCTGTCTGGTGAATCCTCTGAGTCAGAATCAAATCGAGGCCAACAATTTTGTTTTGAATTTGCAGAACTAGCATAGTTATACTCATCTGTCAATTCACAATAAAAGCTTAAAAAAAAAAAAAAGTACTGATCTGTTGACACAATCTGAGCTTTCTTGGAATTATGAATTAGGGCCTTTGTATTCCAAGTCAGAGTTTTCTCTTGTGAGTTTGGTTATTATGAGTCACCCCTTGGAGCCTGGTCACATCTGCTATTGATAGAATTAACTTTTTAGTTATAAATGAAGAGTACCAGACACAGCCATTGCCATACCCAAGGTCACTCAACCTTTTATTGTCATTCTTTTCTAAAATCCTTCACCTTTACTTATCAGTCAAGGATATTTAATAAGGTATATATATGAAGATGTGACATCAGAGTGTGTAAAGTAAGTTACCTTAAGCAAAATATCTGCTAAATTGGATCACCACGGTAAAGAAATATGGATCGATTGTTAAAACTCGTTAAAATAGTTTTAATTTTGTTTACAAGTCATCATACCTACATAGGAAGACATGCAATCTTAGAAATGTTAGCCAATGAGAATCATCATTTGGTCCAGTGTAACTGCCAATAGCTTGCAGATATGAAATAACAATTGAAATCATTGTGAATAATAATTCAGTTCATTTTGAATATTTGACAAGCTAAAGAAGTAGGAAGGATTTCTAGTCATGCACAGCTGGGCTTTCATGTAATTTTGAGATGTCATTGGCAATTGTTAGCTTATTAAATAAATTTCAGATATTTTCAAATATTTTCACATCTCTGTGCCATTGCTTGTGTTGTTTATTTTTCTTGGACTGGAATGTTGGTCTTTTCTTTATCAACTCTTGCAGATTTCTCCTTGTCCTCCCAAATCCAGGCAGAGACACCTTTATTTTCTGGCTTTTCTTGGCACTGTCTTCCTGTCATGGATTCCCCCACTTAAGGTTAATTAATTAATTGCTTCCTCTTCTGTGTTCCCAAAACATTTATCACAAGGTGTACTTGTTATTTACTTACATGCTTCTGATTTTCAAGGGCATCTTCATCATCTCTGTTTCCTAGTGACTGCTACAGTAGCTATCTCATACTTGTTGTTAAATGCTGTTGAGTCAGTACCGACATATAGCAACCTTGTATAGGGTTTCTGAGTAGCAGCTGGTGAGCTTGAACTGCTGACCTTGCTGTTCAAACCGACCTTGCAGTCTAGCACATTAGCACACAACACCACATCAGGACTCCTGTCTCATACTAAGTGCTCAATAAAATTTTATTGAGTTTCATCACTAGACTTTTTGTATGGTAGGGAAGGGGAAGGCACTTCAAAAGTTCATGAGAAAATGGAATTTTTGAAATCCCCTCATATTAGTTACTAAGTCACCCAGCAAATATTCAGTGTTATTGTTTAGTGCTGAAATGGGCTGGTATTGGTCATTTTGAATTGGTCAGCCGTATGGTTTACTATCCTGGTAATGACAAACTCAAGAGGAATGGCGTTGCATTCATAAACAAAACCAGCTTTTCAAGATACAACTTTTGAAGTACAGTGATGTCTATGATAGACTAATATGCATATGCCTATAAGGAACACCGGCATTGTGGGTTAATGTGCTGGACTGCAAAGTTGGTTTGAACCACAAGGTTGGTGGTTCAACCTCACCAGCTGCTCTTCAAAAACCCTATACAGGGTTGCTATGAGTCAGAATTAACTCTGTGGCATTTAACAACAAGAACAGCAACAATGGCAAAATATTGAGCGATGCAGGAAGCAAAAACATAAGATGGAAGGAATGTATAAAGTCACTGTATCAGAAAGATTTGGTCGACGTTCCTCTATTTCAAGACAGCATATTTTGAAGAAGCAAAGGTATTGAAGGAAGACGTCCAAGCTGCACTGATGGCACTGATGAAAAACAAACTTTCAGAAATTGATGGAATGCAAACTCATGCAGTGTTGAGAGGGTTCACTTGTCTATGCCAAGAAATTTGGAAGACAGCTACCTAGTGAAGCAGTTTGAAGAGTTGCATGTTTATGCCTATTCCAAAGAAAGGTGAACCAATGAAATGCAGAAATGCAGGATAATGCACTGGACCACAAGATCAGTTTGAACTGCAAGGTCAATGGTTCAAATCCACCAGCCACTTCTATAAAGCTTAAAGAGGGTTGCTATGAGTTGGAGCCAACTCGATGGCACTTAACAACAGCAACAATCACTGATATCACTTGCAAGCAAAATATTGGTGAAGAATATTAAAAAACAGTTGCATAATTAAAAAAGCAGATCAAGAAGAGAACATGGAACTAGGAATATCAGTGATAACATCAGATGGATCTTGACTGAAAGCAGAGCTTACCAGAAGCATGTTTACTTGTTCTTTAATGACATAGGCATTCATAATAGACTATGGATAACATTGCAAAGATTGGGTGTTCTATAACAACTAGTTGTGCTCTTGAGGAACCTGTAGATAGACCAAGAGACAGTCATTTGAACAGAACAAGGAGCTGCTGAATGGTTAAAAATCAGGAAAGATGTGTGTCAGGGGTGTATCCTTTCCACCATATTTATTCAATTGTGTGATGAGCAAATAATCTCAGAAGCTGGGTTATGTAAAGAACATGACATCAGGATTGGAGTAAGAATTAACAACCTATGAAATGCATGGCAAACATAACCTTGCCTGCTGGAAGCAAAGAGAATTTGAAATACTTACTGATGAAGATCAAGGAATACAGTCTTCAATTACACTCGACATAACGAATATGAAAATTGTCACAACTAGACCAATAAGCAATGTTATAAGATTGAAATTGTCAAAGACTTCATTTAGCTTGCATCCATAATCAAAGTCCATGGAAGCAGTAGTCAAGAAATCAAATTACACATTGCATTTAGGCCAGTCTGCTACAAAAGATCTCTTAAAAAATTTAAAGAGCAATGATGTCTTTGAGGACTAAGGTGTGACTAATCCAAGCTGTGGTATTTTCAGTCACCTCGTATGCTTGTGAAAGTTGGACAGGGAGTAAGGAAGACCATAGAAAATTCAATGCATTTTAGTTATGGTGTTGTCAAATAATATTGAAAGTACCGTGAATTGTCAGAAGAAGAAATAAATCTGTCTTAGAAGAAATTGCAGCCAGAACACTCCTCAGGAGCAAGTATGGCAAATGTTGGTGGTCTGTCATACTTAGGATGCATTATCAGGAGGGACCAGTCCTTGGATAAGGACACTGTGCTTGGCAAAGTGGAGGATCAGTGAAAAGAAGATGGCCTCAATAAGATGGACTGATACAGAAGCTGTATCAATGGGTCCAAAATGGCAACCATTGTGAAGATGGTAGAACACTAGGCAATGTTTCATTCTGTTGTGCATAGGATTACTGTGAATTCGAACCAACTAGATGGCCCCTAACAACATCAACAGCAGAGGTAGTTTAAATGTCTTTCTGCTTGCTAAGGAAATATTTTTATTTATTTAAATAGTTTAAAAAATTTGTGATTCACAACAATGATCCTTTTGCTCTCTCACTGCTCAAGGGCTATGCTGTTACTTGCCAAAATGTAGACATTTAAAGTAGAAAAAGAGAAAGTTTCTTTTTGTGCCTTAAGGTATGAATTTTATGCATTCTCTACTTTTTAGAAGACACTGTAAGTGAAAAATCCTTTACATGTTGCTGCAAGCTCACTCCTAATTGCCATTAGGAAATTGGTATAGAAATCTTTTGATAAAAGTAAACAATATGTAAAGTCATTGAAATGAATAATTCAAGTCATGGTTTAACTAAGATATTAAAAATATTTTGTCAGCATAATTTGGATGCTTAGCATTAATTTTATTTAAGTTAGTAAGTTTTTTTTTTTTTCTTCATATAGTAAATTGACATCAAGGAATAATGTTCACAGTTGAAATAATTTCAGGTTTAAATTGAAGATTGACGAGCAATTTTTCTGTTTTCATTTAGACTTGGATTATCATTTGCATTTATCTTCAACTGCTCCTATTTAATTCTCTTGCCAAAACTAAAGAGAGCTGTAAGAGACTTGTGACTGATGATGTGAAAGACATTACTAAATTGGTAAGTAAGGGAGACTTTCAATAACTCTGCCTCTTTTCTTCTCATAGATAAAATATCTAGGGTCCTTCTCAAAACAAGATTAGTAATTTTCTAAGAAAAGGAAGGGGATCACTGAGTTTTTCCAAAACCTTAAAAATAGCAGAAAGATATTTAAGGTCATGGTGAATTTATTGGTAAAATTAACTCATTGTATACATACCAGTCCAATGACTTTGTTTCTTAGTTGATCCTTTCCTCTCAATTAACATTCGGTTACTCTCTGTCACAAGCCTAAGAAAACACAATCTGATCTTCCAATAGGGTGTTTCAACAGCAAGAAGACCCTGTCACAGGTGGGCTGGTGTTTGTCCCCAGTGAACTTAGTTGGAGGAGTAATTTGATGCCCAATTGTTAAATAGACTCCCTTCCCACATTGGTCCCATTGTACCATTTTCATCAACAGAAGCTGTTGGTCATTACTCTCTTCATGCTGTGTTTCTTGCCACTTCTCTCTTTAAATGCAGATCTCAGAGAGGGTGTAACACATCATCTGGAAGACATTATTCCCGACTCACAAGAACTGAGAATGATTTTTCATGCTCATTTAAAAGCTATAGTGTGTGACTTCAGTATGAACAAAGTTTGAAACGCATTTTTCTTAGCTCCTGGTTCACAATAGTCAGCTATAGTTAGTTATTTGAATAGAATAACTTGATTAGAGAATAGAAGTGATTAGAGAATAGGAAAGAAATTAGGATTGTAATATGGAGAAAAGAAAGATAACTATTTGCTAGGAGTTAGAGCTACATTTATTTTACTTGCTTTCAATGGGTATTTCCTGGTCTACTTATTTTATAGCCTTCAAAGCTGAACTTCAAAATAGAAGTTTAATCTATGATTGTTGTTGTTTAGCCTGTATTCAGAATTAGAAACACATACACAATTCATGCAGACATATTTTGAAGGAAAAGTATTTTTTGATATAACACCTGAATGTACCAACGTGTTTTATTTGAGGAGTTGATGACCAAAGTAATGCTAAAACAGTTGCACGGCACATAACCAACCAATCAACCATATGTCCAGCTAGATATTGCATATAAGGATGGAGAACTGAAAAAGTGTTCTTTAAAAACATCACATCAATCCTGGCCTTTTACCCCAAAATGTTTATTAGTTTATGACCCAAGATACAATATCAAAAGTGTATTTTATGTTCTAAAGTTTGTGAATATTATTAGAGTACGTTGAACAAGTTGTTCCAGTAGTTCTTAAACATTGATGAACATCAATGTTTTTGTTGTTGTTATGTGCCATGGAGTTGGTTCCGACTCATAGCGACCCCTTGCAGGATTTCTGAGGCTGTAAATATTTACAGGAGCAGAACACCTCAACTTGTTCCCGCAGAACCGCTGGTAGTTTTGAACTGCTGACCCTGCGGTTGGCAGCCCGACTCTTAACCACTATACTACCAGTTGTTGTTGTTGTTAAGTGCTGTCAAGTCGGTTCCGACCCATAGCGACCCTGTACAGGGTTTCCGGGGGTATAAATCTTTACGGGAGTAGAAAGCCTCATCTTTCTCCCGTGGAGCGGCTGGTAGTTTCAAACCGCTGACCTTAAGGTTCACAGCCCGATTCGTAACCACTACACTACCAGAGCCCCTTTTAATTTTAATAAGCACTAAAATCACTTGTAGTGCTTATTAAAATGACAGTTGTCTGGGCTCCACTTTAAGAAACTGATTCTATAAACATGGGCAGAACATCTAAGCATATACATTTGCAACAAACTTCCAGAATCAGATTTAAGAACATTGTTCTAGATGGTCTAGAGGTCAAAATCTTTAGATATTAATTTAATCTCAGTTCTTCGTATGACTATGTTTTGTTGTATAGATTTTATAAGGATGCCAATTAATATAGTCTCCAACATATCCCTAAGGCAGGTCATGACCGATCAAAATTACCCTCATAGGGCTATTGGCGTAATAACAGGGAATGGCCTGGTGAAGCCCACTGTGGTTCCAGGAACCAGCTTTCAAATACTTGGTCCATACCATAAAGCTTGGGAGGCAATGGTGTGTTTGACCCCAGACCAGGCATATTCACCATGGCATATATAAAGAAATTATTTGTATGTGTTATCATATGCTAAGTATTTGAGAAATACGACTTAATAAGCCCTACTTCCGGTCAAATGTCAAACTGATAGTTGCAAATGGCACAAGTAGATATTACAAGCACCTTCCAAGATTTTCTAGTCATTCCTTTTATTGTCTGTTCCTTATCCGTTGATACAATAAGAAATAGCAATAAACATTAATAAGAGGAGAAAGAAAAGAGATGCCCAATAAGAGATACTTATTAATACTGACACACTAAAATATAATTAGTCAACTTTAGGGAAAATGTGAAATAATTAAATTGAAGAAAGGTGTGTTCCTCCACCCTTTCCAGCTACTGACATGGAGAGATACAATTTCATTGCAACAGTTGCTGCAGTGTAACGAGTGTATTTTATTTGGATTATAATTTTTAATATGCTACTTGAAAAAAAATTAAAGTTAGTAAAACTAGAATGCAGAAGATCACTTCTAGTTGAGTAAATAAAGATGTATACAATTCACAGCCTTTATTTCCTAGGTGAAAAAATAACAAAAGTTTTATAAAATTATCCCTGATCCACAGCATTTATAATTTAGTTGGGGAGATATACCATCTCCCTAGTGATTTGAATGCATGTCACTAAAACCACAGTAACAACACAGGAGTGGGACTATTAAAAAGATTTCAGGGTTGGATAAGAAACAACCTTTCTAAGTCTCATTCCTTAGTTGGTATTTTGTGGCATAGATTGGTGTATGTATATATGTACATTATCATAGCTGTTGTCACTAATGGAGTCCTGGTGTGGGGCTGTAAGATAAGTTCTTGACCAACTTTAAGGTCACTTTGAACGGCAAGGTTAGCACTTCAAACTCACTATGTGCTCCTAGGAAA